TTTTTTTTTTTTTTTTTTTTTTTTTTTTTTTTGGTCTTTTTCCGTGTCCGGCAATGGGATCGCAACCCTCAGTGTTGCCCCCGCGCCTCGCTCAGCCAGGGAGCGGGAACCGGTCTGCATGTGGGATCTGAACCCTCGGGCTGGAGTGCCGCCGCGCTTCCCAGGCGGTGCACTTATCCAGTGCGCCACCGGGCCGGCCCCTAAAAAGCATTTTTCTAATTTGAATTATGGGTGGGAATGAATGATGCCTAGTGAAAGCCTGAATTTCCTGATCAAATGAGATAATGATTTCAGTTTAACCCTGAGGTAAATTTCTTCATAAATGAAGTTATCATTGTGTCTTAATCCTGGCATAGTAATACATATTTTTTGAAATTGGTATGTGCAGTTAAAATATATGGAAACATTGAGGATTACTGAATTACAGGATTTAAATAATAAAGTGGACTTTTATATGCCTTGATTATGTTTAAATAGAGCTCTAAGTCTTTTTCTAATCGAAGTTTTAAATGTATTTAAAACTTTAAAAATATTATTACTAGAGTGTTAGTAGGTCCTTAACTCTTAAAGAATTTTAGCAGATAAGGAATTTGTGATATATATCTAATTATAATAATTTTAAATTTTAGCATATTTTAGAGGAAATGAGTATCAGTTCAGTTTTCCTGCTGCTTTGAAAAACCATCATAACAGAAAACTCATACATACATACATACTATGTCTACTTTTATAGAACTGACAGACTTAGCTGACATAGGGAGGAGATATAAGGGATCTGTCCTGGAGTGAATACACACACTCACACATACATACACACACAGTTGATGCTCCTTAATCATGGATTCTGTTTGTGTATTTGCCTACTGACTGGAATTTATTTGTAACCGCAAATCAATAACTTGTAGCGTCCTCAAGGTTATTCACAGACATGCAGAGTAGCAAAAAAATTTGAGCTGCCTGATGTGCACATTTCTAGCTGAGGTTGAACAAGAGAATGCTTTGCCTTCTTGTTTCAGCTGTCATACTGTAAACAAGTGTCCTTTTAGCAGTCTATTTAGTGCCATGGGCTTTTGCATTTTGTGCTTTTTGTTGATCATTTCACTTGTCTGAACTAGCCCCCAAGCATAGTGCTACAGTGCCGTTTAGTGTTCCTAAGCACAAGAAGGCCATGATGTGCCTTACTGAGAAAGTATGTTTTACATAAACTCTGGCTGTGAGTTCAATGTTAATGAATTACCGATATATATTAAATAAGTTATCTTTAAAAAGAAACATATAAAACAAGGTTATGTATCTATTGGTTTGTGAAAATGTGATTACAGGAACCTAACCCTATATTTTCCTAAGGAGCAGTGGTTCAGTACTCACTAATTCAGTCTTCATGGTGCCTTTATAGAACATAACTACCAAGAATTGACTGTATATATATGAATGAATGAACAGGTTATATACCATCTGTCTGATTCCCTTATTCAGTAAAGTAAAATTCTTAACACATATTCATTTTATTTTGAAAACATATATATATTTAGATAATATACCTTGTAAACAGTTTCATGAATTGTGTAATATGCCAAATTATTTTGAAATGAAGGTATATTTGGGGTGCAATTAAATGTATTGATATGCTGTTGTGTCAAAGTGTGTTTGTGTGGTTTTTTCTTGTAAAAAAAATAATAAAATGTACTGTTTAACCATTTGTAAGTGTACAATTCACTGGTAAGTACATTTACATTGTTCAGCTTCTGTGGTTTTTTAAAATAGGATTATGGATCTAGGAGCTTGTTACTAAATTTAATCAAAATATTTGGAATTAAATGTAATTGTATTTGTCTACTCTTTAAGATTTATACTGCAGTTTAGATTAGGAATTTTTGATAATTGCATTATAGGGTAGTGCTATTTAATAACACACATTTAATTAAGGTTGCTTTGCACTCACATCCCTCCCCTCTTCTTTTTTAGTGCTTTTTTAGGACCAAAGGATATATTTCCTTACTCAGAAAATAAGGAAAAGTATGGCAAACCAAATAAACGAAAAGGTTTTAATGAAGGCTTATGGGAGATAGATAACAATCCGAAAGTGAAATTTTCAAGTCAACAGGGATCAACTAAACAATCAAATGCATCATCTGATATTGAAGTTGAAGAAAAAGAAACTAGTGTTTCAAAGGAAGATACTGACCAAGAAGAAAAAGCCAGCAATGAGGATGTGACTAAAGCAATTGACATATCCACCCCGAAAGCGGCCAGAAGAGGGAGAAAGAGAAAGGCAGAAAAACAAGTAGAAACCGAGGAGGCAGGAGTAGTGACAACAGCAACAGCATCTGTTAACCTAAAAGTGAGTCCTAAAAGAGGACGACCTGCAGCCACACAAGTCAAGATCCCAAAACCAAGAGGTAGACCCAAGATGGTGAAACAGCCCTGTCCTTCAGAGAGTGAAATGGTTACTGAAGAAGACAAAAGTAAGAAGAGGGGGCAAGAGGATAAGCCACTCAAAAAGCAGCTTAAAAAGGATGAAGAGGGCCAGAAGGAAGAAGATAAGCCAAGAAAAGAACCAGACAAAAAAGAAGGGAAGAAAGAAGTTGAATCAAAAAGGAAAAATTTAGCTAAAACAGGGGTTACATCAACCTCTGATCCTGAAGAAGAAGGAGATGATCAAGAAGGTGAAAAGAAGAGAAAAGGTGGAAGAAACTTTCAGGCTGCTCACAGAAGGAATATGCTGAAAGGCCAAAATGAGAAAGAAGCAGCAGATCGAAAACGCAAGCAAGAGGAACAAATGGAAACTGAGCAGCAGAATAAAGATGAAGGAAAGAAGCCAGAAGTTAAGAAAGTGGAGAAGAAGCGAGAAACATCAATGGATTCTCGACTTCAAAGGATACATGCTGAAATTAAAAATTCTCTCAAAACTGATAATCTTGATGTGAACAGATGCATTGAGGCCTTGGATGAACTTGCTTCACTTCAGGTCACAATGCAGCAAGCTCAGAAACACACAGAGATGATTACAACACTGAAAAAGATACGGCGGTTCAAGCTTAGTCAAGTTATCATGGAAAAGTCTACAATGTTGTATAACAAGTTTAAGAACATGTTTTTGGTTGGTGAAGGAGATTCCGTGATCAAACAGAAAATACTATGTCTTATTTTCTTCTCTGTCCTGGTATTGATGTTATTTAAAATTTTTTCGCTGTATTGTCGTTTGCACTCTTGAACAACATATATACTCCCATATGGATGTCCCAGACTCTTATGATTTAAAATAAACAAACCAGGTTTTAGAATAGCACCAGAGAGCTGTAAGAGGAGGTCTTTATGAAAATATTGGGATGGTTTCTCATTTATCTATATAAGTCCCTTTAATTCTTCACAAGTGCCATGCTTTCTCTCACCTTTGTGAACTTTTTAGATGCTCTTCTGTATGGAACCTTTAATTGATGCTTCATGGCTGCATTAGATGATCCTAAGTGCCTTTATTATGGCCTAGTACTTATTTGTTATAGTATTCATCATACCATATTATAATTGCTTCTGTACTTTTATGTAACTGCCACAGTCTGTTATAGTAGCTCTAAGAACAAAGAAGTTGTGTGTCCTATGTGCCCAGCACTGTTACATATGTGGGAAGAATGCCTATTCCCTAAATATTTGTTGAATAGATGCACAGTTTCCCATCATTATTGCCTTGACTATGTAAAGAGAGGACACCTGTTTAAAGAGATGGATTTGATTGTTTTCTGAAACTAACATTTTGTAATTTCTCTCGGATTGTCGGCACTGTGATTACACCTTCATGGTCTTTTTCATCCTCCAGATTGCCCAGCATTGTCACCCTATCCTCTGATCCTTCTACCCACTAATCTCTGGGTAGTTTTTACCATATAGATTTAACAAGGAAATTTTTGGTAGGTTGTGTGAATGAAACCAAATAACTTTCTTTCCTTACTAAAAGTATGACTGATTGTGCTGATTTGATTCCCAGTAAATGTCCTCAGAGAAGATCTGTGCTTAACCTCTACTCCCAAATGTGTACTGTGTTGCCTCTCTTACTCACAATTTTGGTTGGTATTATAAGTCTAGGGCCTCTAGACCACTTGTTCAAGTACTTTATCACCTGGGAATGATACCACTGAAAATTTATCACTAAATTTTTAAAATGTAGTGATTACTGGCTTCCCACTCAATAGCTGTTAAGTCAGAATCACTGCGATTGAATCTCAAGAATCTGTATTTTAAATAAACTGAATTTGAGATATAGATCAGTCTTTAAATAAAGCTATGGTATATATCCTTTGCTAAGGCTGTTTTAGAGTATGTAGATCAGCATCTCTCCCTAGAAACTTTCAGTAGTTGAATATGGTATATGACTGTGCTATTCTAAATGAACTTATGTTGGGTATTTGTTGGTTAAACCATGAGAATGGTGTTTTTTGTAATTATATTTTCATTCTGCTTCACTATTTTATCCACTACAGTTGTATGCACTGGAGTATAGAATACAATCCCTTATAAGACTGAAAGAGATAGTATAGCATTTAAATCTTCTACAATTGTATATATTAAAAGTGTCCTATGGAACAGAAATCAGGGTACCTTTCTAACTTTCTTACAAATAGGTTTTTGAATTTCCATAAGTAGAAAATTATAAACTTGGTAAAACCTTATTTTGTGAAATTAATAGAGTCAATTGCTCACAGGGATCAACTAAACAATCAAATGCATCATCTGATATTGAAGTTGAAGAAAAAGAAACTAGTGTTTCAAAGGAAGATACTGACCAAGAAGAAAAAGCCAGCAATGAGGTAGGCTTTATTTCGCTTGCATTCTAAACCTCTTTTGTTACAAGGAAGAATTTGTGAAATGAGTTGCCATGGCAAAGTAGAAAGCAGTCTTTAAAATACTTGAAAAATGAATTAGAAATTATTTAAGGCTTACTTTTTTGTGTAGATATTAAATGTATTGGATAATAATTTGCATCTTTAAGATGCATAGATTTTTAAAGTTATTTTTATTTGCAAAACATGAGGTCCAACTATAGGGTGGATTAGTGTTTGTTAGGAATATTTTCTTTCTTTCTTTCTTTTTTTGGTCCTTTTTGGAGACCGCCCGCACCACGCTCAGCCAGTGAGCGTTGTGAGTGCACCGGTCATCCCTTTTATATAGGATCCGAACCCGTTGCCGGAGCGCTTCTGCGCTCCCAGTGCTGCACTCTCCCGAGTGCGCCACGGGCTCGGCCCTGTTAGGAATATTTTCTAAAGAGAGGTAATGTGGGATAGATGAACTAGAAAGGGTATTAGACTGGATTTTTTAAAACCTAGGTTGATTTCCAGCCCTGTGTGATTATCTGTGAGTGGAGATACTCATTTAGCCCTTTCAGGCCTCATGAAATGGTTGTTAGATGACCTCCAAAGTCCTAGCTAACTCTTAAAATTCACAACTCCAGATTTCAGGATTCTACTGTAGAAAAAATGGTCTTATAAATTTATGGTTTTTGTTTTTGTTTTTTTGGCAGCTGGCCAAGATGGGGATCTGACCCCTTGACCTTGGTATTACAAGACTGTGCACTAACCAAGGTTTTATAAATGTAAATAGACAAAACTTCCTGGAGTACTAGCAGGTGTGACTTTTATATTTTATCAGATTGTGAAAGTCATTTTTTCCTTATTACTTTCAGTTTATAATATTAAGACTTTTAATATTTATAATCTCAAAGGTCAGAGAAGCAAAACAAATTTACCCAGCACTTTTAGTGAAACATGCTTGTGAATTTTAGTTTAAGAAATTTTTTTTCAGTCTTGGCTTAATTTACTTAGTTTTCATCTGTATATATATATATTTTTTTCCTTTTAGGATGTGACTAAAGCAATTGACATATCCACCCCGAAAGCGGCCAGAAGAGGGAGAAAGAGAAAGGTACTTTCTGACTAACCACAGGGATCTTAAAAGAATTTTTATGTTAGTTGGCTTGAAGAAGAGTATAATGAAACCTTATTTATATTTGACCTTTTACTCTAAACCCTTTAATTTTTTAAAGAGTAGAGTTATGTTGTTTACTAAGCAAAACTATCTGTGTTTCTTAGTGATGCAGCACCCTTAAGATTGAAGTTGAACAATAAAGGAAATAAAATACACCAGTTTTTATTCATTTTAAAGACTGCCTCAGTTTTCTCTGTAAAATGGATAGTAATATATACTCATAGGGTTGATAAGAGGATTAAATTAATTAATACATGTAAAATATTTATAATAAATCCTGGTACCTAAATACTGGTAAATGCTGTATAAGTGTTGCCCGTTATTGTTATTGTTACTTCACAACATTGTTGTGTGAAATGGGAGTGTGAGTGACAGTGTAGGTGTTGGCTTGGACAACTAGATTACATACTAGGAACACAGGATTTTGGGTTATTGTTACTTCACAACATTGTTGTGTGAAATGGGAGTGCGAGTGACAGTGTAGGTGTTGGCTTGGACAACTAGATTACATACTAGGAACACAGGATTTTGGTGGGGAGTAGAGGCATGGGAAGGAGGAAGTGAAGCATCTGTGAGAATTGGAATAAAGATATGTATCATTATGGCCCAGAAGGGTGAAAAGATAAAGGTGTAGTCACTGGTATAAAGACAGGCTAGTAGATGAGTCAAAGGAGAATGTTTACTGGGAAGAATGGAGAAACTAGAACCCTAAAGGAATATTATGGAGAAGAGGGAAGGTTGCTTTGCAAAATTATGGCTGAGAATGAACTGTCAGGAAAAAAAATCTTAAGTATACCAAGCTAAACAAGGGGAGAATATCGAGAATGAGGGAGTGTCCATAGTGTCCTGATGTAAAGAGAGTCTAAGTAAGAATTTGACAGTTACACTCCCCCGGGATACTTTAAGGTGAGCTCTATTTAGTTGAATGGTAAGAACAGAAACCAGATGAAAGGAGCTGGAAATTTAAATGTTTAATGGTTAAGTTACACTGTGCTTTTGAAGTCTTTGAAGGAGAGAGAATGCAGCAATTTAACAGGGATTTTTAAGGTTAAGGGAAAGTGTTTAAAATGAAAAAATACAGTACATGCCTTAACACTTTTTCTTTGCAAAACTAGGAAGGGCCGGTCCCGGTCCGGTACGGGCGCGACACTGAGGGTTGCGATCCGTTGCCGGTCACGAAAAAAGACAAAAAGGAAAAAAAAAAAAAAACTAAGAAGGACCATAGATGTGTAAAGAGTCAGTATAAATTATCTTATGTAAGTGTACGCTGGATGAGAGAAGGGAGGGGCACATTTGAAGGAACTGACAGGATGGAAGAGATGGACATTTCAGCCTCTTTCACATTGAAGGGAAGGGGTCGAGGAGGCAGTACAAATTTGTAGGGAGAGTCTTGGAAATTAAGAGAATTCCTTCCTTCTGGCCTCAGTCTCTCCCTTCCTCCCCCACTCAATTCAAAACAAGACTTTGGGCATGGTACAAGGCAGGAAGAAATGGATTAAAGGTTTATGCTAGCTATTGTGGGGAGAAGAACAGGATCTGATAAAAGACGGTAAAAGATTAATGAATGGATTTGAGATCTCAACTGAGATTGCTTAAAATGAATGCATGTTTGTACAGTCTCTTCCCAGCAGGGCTCAGCAGCTGGAATAATAGAACAGAGAAGGTAGAATTGTATTGTAATCCTCAGTTGGGGATTTGTGAGACAGGTGCAGGAGAACAAGGATGCAAAGTGCTTAAGAATGCCTAGGAACAGTAGTCCCATGAAGTTTTTCTGTGTTGGGGGTGGCTTTAGGTAAGATCAAGGAACGTAGCAGAGCTAGAAAATGGAGTAATGAATGGTAAAAATGAGTCAAAAGTTTAGAGGTCTTAGTGAGATTAAGTGAAATATGGAAATGAATTTGTAGAAGTTAGAATATTTGCATTTAAGATACTTAAACATGTATATTTCAAATAATTAGTCTTCTCTAGATAAAATATTTTTTATTCTTTGATTTTATTTTCATGAGGAATGGTTTTGACTTGCATGATTTTGTTGTAACAGTCATGAAACACATGTCTGTGGTAAGGCCA